TGGCACTCCCAGCCCCACCCTTCCCCAGCTCTATAAAGTCGGGGTGAGGTCAGGAGCCTGGAGGGCTCTCGTCCGCGCCTGCCTGCCCACCTTGGCCCAGACTGGAGCCCAGGTGTCCCACCCTAGAGGGAGCTGTCAGGTGTGGTCATGGATGCTTTCAGGTGTGGCCCTGCCAGGCCCAGCCACGCTCTGGGTGGGGCTGCCTGGCTGGCTGCCAGCGCTTTGCAGACACAAGCTCCCTTCATAGCTCCCTTCATCTGCCTGAAACCAGGACAGGGAGGATTTATTCCCACTGCCCCAGCCAGGGGAAGTTGTGCAACCCAAGTTGCAACCCGCACAGCACTCTGCCCACGGTGGGTGGGGAGGCAGAACTGAGAATTCACATCCATCTTCAACGGGGCAGTTCTTGAGGGACTCTTAGATCACCCTGCCAATCACAGGGAGGGGACAAGGGTGGCTCTGGGTGGTGGTAAGAGGGTGTAGGGTGTGTGGGAGAAACTGGCTTTTGGGGTCAGACAGCCTGGGCTTCAATCTGGGTGCTGGTGTTCACTGGCCTGTGACCTCTCTGAGCCCACAGGTCCCCATCAGCAAAACATGACTACTAATGTGCCCATCTTGCAGCGGTGAATCTCAGATGCAATAACGTGTGTGAAGTGCCTGGTGCTCAGTGAAGTGTCCATCCTTATTAAGGGAGGAGGGCCTTTCATTGTTTAGATGTTGAGACTTAGACTAATGAAAGTTACCCAGATGTACGCACTTCATATAGAGTGTCCAAGTATCTTATCAGGCTCGTGAGTCTCCTGATTCTGGTGGAGAGACTTACCAGGCCGTCCAGGGAGGGCTGTGGGCGCAGGGTGAGGTGTGCAGCCAAAGGTTGCCTGTCGGGATGGGGAGGGTTGGGCCAGGCTCCCTGGGGTCCCTCCAGCTCTGCCCAGGTGCCCTTCCTCCAGGAGGTTGCACCCCTGCACCCAGGCACAGGGCTTGGAAAGAGAAGCAAAGGCTGACGTCAGCTCCTCTTGCCCACCTTCCCAGATGTTCTTTGACAATCTTCCACTCTAGCATTGGGGCACTGAGCTGCCAGGAGTAGTTTTTCTGAGATTATGAGGATAAGTCCACCCCCAGGGATTTCCCAGAAGCCAGGGGGACTGGAGGTAGATGGGCACTGCAGGGTCTGGGATTCCTTAATCACAAGGGCCCACCCCTCATCCCTAGCCCCAAAGTCTGGGGTACTCTGCCGCAGCCCCAAGACCAGCCTCCCAGCCTCCCAGCCTGGCACTGTGCCTGAGGCCTTGGCCGCATAGCCACACCCTCGGCAGTTCTTTGCCAACTGCGCTGAGCCATTCTCTCCCTTGCTGGCCCAGCCTCAGAGAAAGCGCTGGAGTCTTCAGGCAACTGCCCGAGCTCCCCAGAGAGGCCTGACAGCTGACAGATTGCACCAGTCGCTGGGCCTGCTGGGAACTAAAAATGTGGGCAGCAGTAATTAGAGTGCATGGGGTGAGGGGCACCGGGTCTTTCTGGAAGCATCTAGACACTGCCCCTCAGGGAGTCCATTTCCATCTCCAGTCTATCCCCTAGGCCTCTGGCTTCTGGCTGGCCTTGGGGTCACCGCGCACCCATCACTGCTGAAGGGGGCCCAAGGAGGGGCCAGGTGGGAGGGCTGGGGATCCATCCTCTGGCCCCTCCCGCCCCGCTGTCCAGCAGAAAGAATCTGTCTGCTTGGGAGTCTGGGGATCTGCATGTCTCTCACTCTGTGACCTTGGCTGGCGGCCGGCTCCCGTGACTCATTTTCTTCATCTGTACAATGAGACCATTGGACTGGATGTTCTCTAAGGCTCCTTCCAGCACCGTGAATCAACAGTTTCTCCTCCACTCTCCTTCCTCCCCCCAGGTCCCCTGCACCGACTGCCCACTCTGCCTGCTAATGCTGCTGGAGCGGGTGTGTATATGGTGAGTGGAGGCAGGGGTGAGGGAGGACCTGGAGATGTGACATCCCCCGTGGTGGCTGTGGAGGGGGGAGGCCCTATGGCTGGAGCACCCTCGTGTCTTAGGTGTCCTAAGAGCCCTTTTCAGGTGGAGGGGGCCCTGGAGGAGGAAGGGCAGGTGCCTGGTGATAGGGCCTGTTTGCCGTGTACACCCTCAGCTGAGAGAGGCAGGGGGAGGCCAGGGGGCTTCCAAGAGCATCTCAGAGAGGCAGGGGATGGGGGTCGCCAGCTGGGACACCCAAACTGGGCATGTGCACTTGTGACTTGCTCCCCTGGGTCTGGGGCCGCAGGAAACCAATTAAGGGAAACAGGACACAGGAAAGCCCTGTCCAGCCTCCCGGCTGCTGTGTGTATTGGGAGGGGAAGGATGGGGGTGGGTTCCCGTGGCCCCATCTGCAGAGAGACCAGGAGGAGACCTACTATACCCCAAAGGCCCACATCCCAGGAAGGTTCCCCCACCCCCGCCCCGCTCCCCCTCCTTGCTACCCGATGCAGAATTGGAGTTTCCTGTTTTCCTGCCTGCCTTCCTGGCAGTATTTTTCCCTTTTCCCAAGGTACAGAGCAGAGGCTGAACCCTCAGTCTGTGGGAGGGACAGGGGCCTGTTATCCTCCCCATCCTTCCCCCAGGAATGGATGCCGCTTCCCCAAATAGCCAGGGAGGGCGCTGAGGACAAGAGCTTAGGGCTTCCAGCCTGAGATGGACCCTCCCCCCGGGGCTCTCTCCTCTCTGTCGGCCTGTTTTGTGCCTCTCCTGACAAGCCACCAACCCACAGTTTTTCCTCTCTCTGTCACCCTCTAGTGTCTTCCTGCTGCCACCACACCTTGTCTTTGGTCCCTGCCCTCCCCCAAGGTTTCTGGAACCCCTCACTTCCTGGGTCCCTTGTTCACTTATTTACTCATTCAACAAACATTTCAAGGGTGCCTATTTTGGGGATGCAGAGACCAAGAAGGCGTGGCCTGGGCTCCAGAAGCTCACAGATATAGGGAGAGATAGACATGCCAACAAATAATGGGAACAGTAGCTTGGGGCACTAAACAGGAACAGACCCAGAGCTGGAGGAACCCAGAGGCAAGAGCGGCCACTGCAGCTGGGGATAAGGAAGGCTGGTTGGAGTAGGAGGCAGTTGAGCTGGGCCTCAAACCATGAGCTTGCCTGAGCCTGTGCAGGTGGAGAGGGCAGGCATGGGGGCCCAGGGAGAAGGGTCAGCTGGACTGGGGTGTACTGGAGACAAGGGCAGTGATAGGAGAGGAGGTCAGAAGGCTGGCAGGAGGAAAGGATAGCAATTCCAGGTGGAGCCATTCGAAAGGCCTTCCAAGCCCCATGAGCGGGTGGAGATGGTCACAGGATGCAAGGTCCACAGGGCAGGGAGTTATTGTGTCCTCAGAGCCAGGGACTATGTGTGGCACATAGTAAGTATGTGTGGAATAATAACATATAATTATATAACATAAGTATGTGTGGACTGAGTGAATGAATGGTGAGATTTGCATTTTAAATATAGTGGGATGGTTTGGATGGGGCAAGACTGAGGCTGGCTAGCTAGTGAGGAGGCGGGCATATGGGACGGGTCCTGGTCAGAGGTCAGGATTGTTGGGCCAGGAGTGGAGGTGGGGCAGAAAGGGAAGCAGTGGCACCATCTGGGAGCAGCCTGGCTGTGGGTGCGGAAGGGAAGGTGGGCAGGCTGGGCATTAGGGAATGGAATGCGGGAGTGGGGGAGGGAGCGAGTATGGGCTCACTGTGAGACAGGCTGAATTTCTATGCCTACCTTTGGGTGTGTTTCATGCCCCCCTTGCCCAAGAGGTGGCATCTCTGGAGCAGGGCCAAGTCTGCTCTCCCCATAGCCCCAACCGCTTTCTTGAGCCCCAGTTTTACTGAACTTGTATAAAGGGTTAGAGATCACGGGTAATTCCTTGAACAGCTTCCTCACGTCAGAAACAGAGCCACTGGCCAAAGGCCCCCTCAGATGCCCCTTCCGGTCTGGAGGAAGAAACTGGAGGGAGTCATGTGCTGACACAGCCGTAGGCTTCAGAGCATGGCCCCTACTCTGGGGACCAGGCCAGACCAAGGACATCTCTGTACCATGGCTCACACAGACCAGAGCCCTGGACATGCCAGCTACCTCCTCAGCAGAGGTGGACCAGGGTTCTTAACCTGTGAGTCCCTAAAGGCTTCAAGGTGTCTGTGAGATCCAAAATTGCATGCCAAATTGTGGGTATGTGCACTTCTTCTAGGGATGGGGCTCCCTACCTTCCTCAGGTTCCCAAAGAGCAGCTGATTCAAAACAAGGTTAAAATCCACCACTCTAAGAGAAAGGAGAAGGAGGAGGAAAAGGAGAATTTGTGTATTTGTTTAGATCTATATAAAAGAAATACAATGTGAGTAGCTATTAAAAAAAAAACAACAAAAAACCCCACCACTCTAAACGCTCCCTCTCCTGTCCCCATCCTAGGGCCCAGCCAGGGCTGGACATGTGGTATTTTCCTTAAGTGGCCACTTCTCGAATGCTCACTCTACGCCAGTCCCCGTGCGGAGGTTTCCTCTTTCCTTGCTTTCAACCTCCTCTCAATCCTGTGTGTCCCACAGCTGGGAAGGGTGGGCGCCCGGATTCACAACCATGGATGCTGCAAGCTGTGTTCTGGTGGCTCTGGAACACCCCACCTGTAGGGAGGGTCCTCTGTTGGCCTGTGCCTCCTCCCTCTGCCCTGTCCCCATCCACTGCTGAAGCTGGGCGGGCTATGAGGGTTGGGGGCAGTGGGGGTATTCAAAGCCCACAGGGCCTCCAGGCTGGACGGAAGGTCTTCTTAGACCCCTATTTTCCTCCCCACCGAGCTGCAGGCTCTGCAGACTCAGGCACAGAGGCAGGCGGATGGCCGCGCTCGACTCTGGTTCCGTGGTGCAAGCTCTTCTCTCTGCAGTCCTGAGGAGTCTGAGCTCCTCTCATTTCTCAGAAGAAAGGACCTCAGGACCCCATGCCCTCCCCATACTCTCCAGGTGCCCAAATCCACAGAGGCCTGGTCTCACCACCTGCCATCCGGGCACTGAGTGTTTTATTAGAGTCCAATTTTTATCCGCACCGCGGAGAAAGAGGGAGGGGGAGATAGAGGAAACCCGGACCAGACCCCAGACCCCTCCCCCCACTAGAGCCCAGGGCATCTGCCCTGTTGGGCCAAGGAAGACTTCGTGAGATCCCTGAGGGCCCCAGGAGGAGGGGGCTGGGAGCAGCAGAAGAGGGCTGGGGGCCACTGCTGTCCTGTTGATGCCCCAAGCCAGGGCCATCAGTCTAGATCCTACCCTTTCTTTGAAGGGCTGTAGCACCCCTCCCTGGGGAGCCTTGGCTGACCACCTCCCCATCAAACTCCGAGGAGGAAGTGCCTCCTTGGGCAGGCCCCAAAGCACAAGCCATCCTATGCCTGTGACCCTGTCCTGCCATCTGGCCCACGTCCGAGACACTGGGACACGGGGGCCTGCTCAGTCATCAGACTACATTGCTTTCCCGCCTCCTCACAGGCTCCTCTGCCCCCATCTCTCTTCCACCTCCTGACCTGAACCCCTTTTGATCTCAGGGTTAGATGCAGTTGTGGTCTGTATGTCCCACCTCTTGTCATGCAGAAGGCCGGCCTGGCGTGGCCTTGGCGCAGGGCATGGGGTGAGGGCTGGAGGAGAGAGCCTGGCCTGGAGAGGAGAGGTGGGACCAAAAGGGAGCTCCCTGGTCGCTCAGGCTGGGGCTTAGTGACCCACCTAGTCTGGGTACTCCTGGGCCAGGGGAGGGGTTTGGAGAGGCTGTGGGGCCAGCCTCCAGCCCTCAGCCAGGGTCCTCCTGCAGCCAGCTCAGAAGGAAGCAGCTCCCCAGCCTGGATGGTGGCGCACCAAAGGCCATTAGACCATTCTTCCTTCTGCCTGACTTAGATCCTGCTTGCTGGTCCCACCTCCCCAATGCCGGAGAGGAGCGGAGGACCCTGTGGAGCGGGTAGGGGAGGCTCCCAGGTCTGAGGTGTCCCTGGGTCCACTGAGCTGAGGTCCCCAAGCAGGTGGCATCAAGCAGGCAGGTGGACAGGGGATCCCTGTGTTCGTAACGGCTCTTTGTTCCCTGGACACAGTGGGCGGGCAGGAGGTGGGGGGTGAGGACCCTCTAGAAACAGCAGAACCCAGCTCCTCTTGTCTGCAGGGCACCCACCCTCAAGGTGTTCCCTGGCCCCAGGACCTCTCTGTAGCAGCAGGGAGCAGGCCCCCTCGCGGTCCTGGGGCCTTACCCCTGGCCTCTCCCTGTGCCAGGGGGCACCAAACAGTGTGTGTCTGGGCTCAGAAGCCCCCGCTCTCTGAGCTGCTCCGGCTGTGGTAGCTGGGACTGGGGGTCCGGGAGGGGCTGCGAGTGCGGCTGCGGGTCCCACGACTGCGGCTGCTGTAGCTTCCATGGCTGTGGCTGTGGCTGTGGCCGGGACTGGGGCTGCGGCTTGAGTAGTCACTGCTCAGGCAGCTGGAGGAGGATGAGGGGCTGGGCCGGTAGTAGGGGATGGGACGTTTCCGGGCACTGCCGGGAGGGAGAAGCTAATTACAGGCCATCCAGAGCCCTGAGCTCTGCTGTACTGGGCCCTCACTCAGGCCCCCAGCCCCTCCCCAGCAGTGGCCAGGGCTTCCCTGCCTCAGTGTCCCCAGAGCCCTGGCCTTGTGGTACCCCTGCCCCAACAGGACTGGACAGTCAGTGGTCACTTGCCAATTTCATGTCAACTGTTTTGTTTCTCCTCACTTGTCTGCAGGAAAAGGGGACCAAGGCTCTGCTTGATCTGAGCAGGTGCTCAATAAATATTTGTTAAATGAGTGAAACTTTAAAATATCGACGACTCACATTAACTGTGCTAAGCAGTGGCTTCTGTGCATGGGAATGGTTTGTGGATATGGCCCAGCCCTGCTTCTCTGTCCCCCAAAGAATCGAGAGTTTGGGTTTTGCATTCACTCGGAGGGAATAAGGAGGAGACCCTGGGCCACTGCTGCCCATGCCCACAGCCCGGCCCAGTCCCGCCGGCCCCTTCTCCTCACTCAGCTACCTCCCGCCGGCCCGGAGTTAGTTTGAAGCCAGGAGGCTGTGACCCAGAGAAAAGAAAAGAGAATGGTTAAGGGGGTGACAAGGCCCCATCGCGTGAGATTAATTCTGAGAAAGAAAACAGGTGTACGTTAGTGGGAGGAGGAGGAGGCAGCCTGGGAGAGGGGCTGAGGTGGGTGCCAGGTGGAAAATGTGGGGTCCGGCTGTCTTAGGACCCCCCTGTGTACGGGTGGGGGGGTGTGACCTGTCTGGAGGCGTCCCAAGCCTGCCCATCTGGCCTCCAGACCTGGGGTGTAGGGAGGAGGTAATGCCCTCTTCTCCCTCGGTGATCTGGACCATCAAGGACTAGGAAGGACTAGTTTGAAAATCAGACCACGTTAGAGCTGCCAAGATGCTCAGGGAGCCCTGCTCATTGTTCGGATGTGAGAACGGAGACCCAGAGAGGCACGCCGATCTCCCCAGGCTGCCCAGCCAGGCTGTGGCAGAGCTGGGCTCCGAATTTCGCCTGTGGCCCTCTACCCCATGTCGGCGGTCTAGGGCTGCAGGATGAGTTCCACAAACAAAGACATAATCCCGCCTAGAGACCCCGGCCTGGGCCGGGACCCTCCAGTCCTAGAGACCAGGCTGCTGGTGCCTCCTCCTCCAAATTCCCCAGGGGGCTGGGAGGTTAGTGAGAAAAGGAGAGGCAGAGAGAGGGACAGCTGAACAGAGCCAGATCAGCTCACATGGGCATCTCCCCCGAAGCCTGTGGAGAGGGGGTCCGCCCCGCCCCCAGGCTGGCCACAGGCCACTCAGCAGGCTGGACCTTGAGATGAAGGAAAAAAGGAGACATCATTGCCAGGAGATGAACGTGGGGAGGGAAGGAGGGCGGGAGGGGTGCCAGGAGAGATGGCTGGAATCTTCCAGAGCTGAACTCCACGCCTGCTGCTGCCCACCCAGACCCAAGTACAGAGCCTCTCCCCTCCATGGGCCTCCCATTGTGGGGGGGGGGGGGTCCCTGTCCTCTTTTTTTTTGTTTTATAAGTTTCTTTGCTTTTATTTATTTATTTTTTTGTGAGGAGGATCAGCCCTGAGCTAACATCTATTGCCAATTCTCCTCTTTTTTTTTTTTCCCCCAAAGCCCCAGTAGATAGCTGTATGTCATAGTTGTACATCCTTCTAGTTGCTGTATGTGTGACGCCGCCTCAGCGTGGCCGGAGAAGCGGTGCATCGGTGCGCGCCCGGGAGCCGAACCCGGCAAGGAGTGCACACACTTACCCGCTAAGCCACAGGGCCGGCCCAGTACCTGTCCTCTTGAGGCCTCCCTCCTCCTCCTCAGTGAACCTCTACCTCTCTCTCCGAGTCTCCCCAGCACCTCAGCTCTGGCCTGTCTCCTCCCTGGGGCCCCTTCCCTTCACTGAACCCTCACCTCCTCTCCTTCACCCCCACCCGTTCCTGCACCCCCGGCCCCGGCGCCTCCATACCTGGTGATGCGCCGCGGCTCCATGAAGCTGGGCGAGTCCCGGCGCCGCTTGCGGATGGGCGAGTAGCTGCGGGAGCGGCGCCGGGCGCGGGCGGCCTCGGCCTCGGCGTGCCTCGCGCGGCCCTCGCTGTCCTTGTCCCTGCGGGGCCCGGCCCGACGTGAGCGAGGCGGCCGGGCCGGCGCGCCCGATACCGCCTGCGCCAGCGCGCCCCGGCCCGGCCCCGCCGCCACCTTGGGCGCGTACTCACCGGCCCGGGGGTTTCTTGGGAGACGGCGAGCGGCTGGGGCTGCGGGCCCTCTTCTCCGCGGAGCGCGAGCGGGACTTGGAGGGCGAGCGGCTGGAGCTCCAGGAGCGGGGGTGCGGGCCCGGGCTGAGCGACGAGCTCTTCCGCTCAGGGCCGCCGTGCCGGCCGTGCGCGCCCGGGGACGGGGAGGTGCTGGTGGGCCGGGCGCGCGGGGGCCGCTCCTTGGGCCTGGAGGAGGGGCACGGCGACAGGGGGCTCAGCTGGGGAGAAAGGGGGCTCAGTGGAGGGGCGGAGGAGGATAGGAGACAGAGGGGGACCCGGGGACGGGGGTGGGGGGGGCTCAGCTGGGGAGAAAGCGGGCTCAGTGAGGGGAAGGGACTCAGGAGGGGGAGAGTTCTATGGGGGAAGTTTATGGAGGAGGAGACGGGTGAGAGGGAGGAGGGTGTGTGTGTGTGTGGGTCGTTTCCAAGGGAGGGAAGGGGGGAGGGGAGTCAGTGAGGAGGGTGTTCCGTGGTGGGGGGAGGAGAAGGATCAAGGTGGGAAACTTTGTTGGCAGGAGAGTGATCAGTGAGGGGAAGAGAGGGCTCCTTGTGTGGGGGGAATCGTCAGCTCGGGGAGAGGGGTCGGGGGCGGAGGGTGCTCCGTGGAGGTTGGGGGCAGTGATCAGTGAGGGGGAGGGGGAGAGGGGCAGGGGGTCCCGCGGGGGCGGAGCAGTGCTCAGTGCCGGGAGGGAGCCCCTTCTCCCCGGGTCCGAGCGCTCACCGTTTCGCG